TTTTTTGCGGTACGCGGGCCTCTCACTATCGTGGCCTCTCCCGTTGCAGAGCACAGGCTCCGGACGCGCAGGCTCAGCGGCCATGGCTCACGGGCCCAGCCACTCCGCAGCATGTGGGATCTTCCCGGACCGGGGCACGAACCCGTGTCCCCTGCATCGGCAGGCGGACTCTCAACCACTGCGCCACCAGGGAAGCCCCTCCTTCTACTTTTAAGTGTTTACAACTTTCCATAAACAAGTTTTTAAAAAAGTTGCTGTCAAGCTAAGACTTTTGAAAGCCCTATTTAGATACTGGCTTGCCAACCTCCTAAGTTAGACCCACAGATCCCCTTTACTCTGCCCCAAGCAGACCACCCTTATTCTCTCCATCCAGAAGAGTACACTACAGGAAATCATCACTTTCTCATCTTTGTAGCTCAAGGGCCTGGACCATATAACAGAAGAGTTGATACTAACTTCATACTAGTCTCTGAAACCCAGTCATTGTGACCAATTCCAACCCCCTCCATGTTTCCAAACAATCCACAGACAACAGTTATCATCCTGATTTAGAGAAAGAGCAGAACAACCAGCCTTAAGGAATGTTCATAGCAAAAGTGGACAAATGGAAACAAAACAAAGGGATCATGGCACAGAATAACCTTGCAGGTGTGTATTACCTCTCAGCAAATACCCTCTTCTGCTTGTGCCAACTTCAATACTTCACCTTTCCCTGGCCAATTAACCTTGCTCCTCTAACTACATTTTGAGGAACCCCTCCTTATACTCAACCTCCCCCGGCAACTTTCTTCCAATTTCTAAGTATTACCCCGCCCTACATTCCAGATCATTAACAAAAGACCACCTGCAAAGGTGGTGGAGCAACAGGGCTCCCATACACTTCTGGTAGAAAGTGTAAATTGATACGACCACTTTGGAAAACTGTTTAGCAGTATTTACTAAAGCTAAACATATACATGTCCTATATACCTACGAGAAATGTAGATGGATGTTCTTTAAGAATGTACATGTACTAGAACATTTGTAATAGCACTATATGTAATAGCTAAAAACTGCCCCCCCCCAAAAAAAGGCCACCTGCAAGCTTCAGTTGTCTCACCAGAGGAAGAGCCAGCAAAGGCTGACTTTCCACACAAGTAGCAACGGCCCCAGTACCTGTCTATATCTAATCTTTCCCAGTGATAAGTAGGGCATCAAGTTAATAAAAAGATTTATCAAAATACTCATTAAGTATCGGAAACTGCTTTGGTTAAACTGTTTTAAGCTACAAAGGTTGACACATACTTAAGGTAACAAATAACAAACTAATTAATTTCAAAGAGGCAGAGGAAGGGTTTAACAGAAGTATCCTACTAACCATGCTCATCTTTTATTTTCACTATCTCACCTACAGCCTTTAAAAAGGGAACAGGCAACCTCACAGATACAGTGGGCTCAGTTCCAGACCATGCCAAACAGTGAATATTGCAATAAAGGGAGCTACACAATATATTTTGGTTTCCCAACACATGTAAAAGTTATGTAATCTATTAAGGGAGCAATAAATTTATGTCTCAAAAAACCCCATACATACCTTAATTAAAAGATACTTTATTACTATAAAGTGGTAACCATCACCTGAGTCTTCATCAAATCTAAATATTTTTGCAATAGTAACACCAAAGGCCGCTGATCACAGATCACCATTAACAAACACAGTAATGAAAACGTCTGAAATCTTGCAAGAATTACCAAAATGTGACAGAGACACCAAGTGAGCAAATGCTATTGAAAACTGACTTCCTTGAGACAGGGCTGCCACAAAAAACACGTTATTGCTAAGCACGATAAAATGAGGTAAGCCTGTACTGTATTCCACACTGCCTTACTAGTTTCACAGAACAGAAGGAAGCAATCTTCATATGTACCATTTAAGTATGAAAGCTGTGCTCCTTGAATTACAGAATGAAAAAGTAAATGCGATGGATCTTACAAAGAAAAGCTTATGATATACTGTTTTAAATTAACAACCTATCTATAAAATACTTATAATGGTGTCCTGTCATGACATAGTGACACCTCCCATCTCCCAACTTAGAATCTCTCAGCTTTTCTACTCACCCTTCAAAATGTACAATAATCCAATTTCTAGTATATACACATTTCCCAGGAAGAGTTGCTGTTATGATGCACTGGGGGAGAGCGGCAGAAACCAAATTCAGCACGGACCTTACAAGCTGATTGATGGCTGATGGTCCAGGAAGTTTTTAGTGAATTCAGGTAGACAACCAAACCCATTCCCCATCCCCTAGGTGAAATACATTGGCTTGACCTGAGACTGTTCTTTGGCTTTTATCACTTACCTTTTGGGTCAAATATTGTTAAGGGGATAAGGGGACTAGTTGCACTCTTAACTATTCTTTTTTTACCCAGCAGATGTGGTGATCTGGTTGGGACTTCCTCCACCTTGCCTTAACGAAAGCTCAATTGTTAACAACCCAAGTTTCACCTACAACCCAAGTAGTCCTTACCCTACTTTACCTTAATTGCAGTGATGGCAAAG